GGGCACGCGAAGGAGGTGCGTCGTCGCGATGGAGATTTTTTTTACATCCCTGCCCCCGCTCCCTTAATTTCCCAACTGCGCGGTGGAAAAGAGCATCTGAGCGATTATCCGTCATTACACACAGTGATGAGTCCTGCCTACCTTGTGACAAACCCCGACCCCATCCAACTCGTGGGATTTTTTCCTTGCCCCACTACGGTGAGTAATCGCAAAGATTACACCGTATACTACTGTAACTTCTGATGGCCACTGCGCCCCACTCACTGTGAAGCCGTGCTAGTAGAACATATTTGCGATTAGGTACATACCCGAGCATGGCGCAAGGAAGGAATCCTACGACTGGTTTGGCGTGAGAAGTCTACCAAATATTTACATGATTCACCCCCAAATAAAGATATGGACTGAGCATATTTCAGTGACTTGCCTTATGAGCAGCAGGTGAGATACTACGATATGTCGGCGACGATCAACGCCATCATGGATTCCAAGACGTATACCACCAACAATATGCGGCTGATGTTCTACAATGGTGACGTAGATACCGTATGCCAATTCCTCGGTGACCAGTGGTTCATAGAGAACCTCGTCGCTCAACGGAATCTCAGCGTAAGTCAAGATAAGCTTGAAGGCATAAGGCAACATAATTTGGTACTTCTCCAGGAATAATAGCAGGGGTCCCAAACAGGAGGGAAATGGCGAGAAAGCAGAGTCAAACGGCCGAACACCTGCAAAAAACCTCTGTTCCGCACGGCACTGGTCAAGCACTTTTGGACGAGTTTCCCGTTCGCATCGCATCAGCAACCGCTCTGGTAGATACGCTGCACGCATGTATTCAATATCCAAGTAGCAACGTTTCATATCAATTGTACTTCATAAATGACGCAATTAAGGGTACCAGCGTCAGATGTGACTATGCACCCTTTATGTGCGACGGTGCGTGTGTCTGAGATTGCATGAAGCATCTGGTTGGCCCTTATGAGGCGTCGCAACATGTCGGAAAAGCGCACGCCAGCGCCTGTCAAAGCGTCACAAGATCATTTCATGCTAAGGGTATCAAAGCCCTGTACGCCTTGTCAAATTCATCCTGGCCACTTGTCTTCAACGGCTTCGCAGTTGCTTCACGTAGCTTTTGAGTCACAGTTCCACGATAACGGTGGGCGAAACTTCGTTAAGGCCTATTTTTGATTGCACGTCCCGTTCCGATCACTGTGAAGAGGACCGATTCGCGCCAGTCAGAGAAGAAACAGTAGTTAGAGCTTCTGCCCGTTTCCGAGCTCAACAATAGCATCCGAAATATTGATCGAGGTGATCAAGTTAGTATGGATTCATTATTCATACCAATAGTGTTACTGACCAGGTAATAACTAAGATTCCAGCGCCTACAGGCCGGCCGATTCATCAGGGTACAAAAATATCAAACCAATATGGTGAATCGGAGGGAACTCCATCAGCATTTCAACCCGCAGTACTTGACATGTTTAGGTTTTATCTAATCGACAGCAGTGGACCTATCAAATGGCCCCAGGGTTCAGTCCAACGATTGCAGGTTACGCAAAGGCATGGGACTCAGAACCTGGCGCAGCTATTAAAGGTAACCAACCTAATTAGACTCACTAGGTTGATGCTTCACGCTTGAAAAGAAAAACAAGTAAAGAATAGCCAATCCAATTTCCAGGGTTCTGGTCACTTTGTACCGATGGATCGTCCAGCCCAGGCCCTTCAAATGCTTGTCAATTTCATAACAAATCAGCCAAACTACAGTAACCCGATATTTTATGTAAGACCATCTAAGAAACATAACTACTGTTCCCACGGAGCGTGGTTCTATAAAGAATCATATTCCAGGTGGACACAACTCCAAAGCCTTTGCTCACGGCTCCTGTAGCTCCACCAAACTGCACTCGCAAGGTCAACTTGTTTGTCTTCGTTCTGCTACTTTCGTTTAGCTCGTTAATGCCATATGGACGGAATGCCCGTTCCCTTAACTGACTGTCGAAGTCCTAAATGCCAAGAAAATGAAGTAGGAAATGGCAAAACTAACTACAATTTCCAGGAATCAGACAGAATTCTCTCTATGCCGGGACTCACTGGCCCGTTGGGATTCAAGCAGTACTCTGGATTCCTCCAAGGATCCCCTACTCACATGTTGCACTACTGGTAACTGGTGACTGACGAGACTACGATGTGTCACCCTCAAAAATCCACTTCAGGTTGATGGAGTCAGAACTGGTCGACCCAACCCAAGCACCTCTGATTCTCTGGTTGAACGGTGGTCCGGGATCAAGTTCCTTGGAAGGGCTGTTCTTCGAGAATGGACCGTTCAGGATTGGTAAGGATGGGCGGACGGTCACAAAAAATCCATACGCATGGAATCAGGTGAGCCTTTCCTGCCGTCAATGGAAAGCTATCTTACCATTCATCGTTGGATCAGTCCTTTGTGGGATGCGGCACGCATTTTACTTCCATTCAGAATCGTACTGGCTTATTGAATGTGATTTGGCCTATACAATGTTGTGGTGGCCAGCCGACGTAGTCAGTGTTCTATCCTTCCCAGCACAAATCTGGTACCGATTTACCCTCCCCGGAGGATAGAAGGCTTGGTTGGCATGGGCGGTAGTCGACCCGGGACTTGAACCCGGTGCCGCGCAGTGGTGAGCGCAACCATCCTTGCTCACTAACACCACTCCGCCTCGTACTATTTCATTAGTGATCAATTTTTCCTCCCCCCCCCCCCTCTGACAGCTGAGTTTTTTGAATGCAAAATTTCGAACAAGAAGTGATCAGGGTGCTGACGGAGTTTTGGTCATGAAAATTTTTGGTAAGTAGGATGGGGGAAGGGACCGTACTGGAGGAGGAGCTTTTCTGGGGGAGGGAGGGGTTGCCTTTTTGCAAGAATTTTCTTCAGCGACGCAAGACATACATTTTTTAGCCCATCTCCCGGGACGATCATCCCATCTCATTCTTTCTCCCCAAACGAATAGGTACCTTTGATCATATCGATACTAGGCAGGCCTCTCCTGGTTGCTCTACCTAAGGTCCACTACTGGCCATGTTCAGTTGTCGTCATCGCTCTTCGTCGAGCTGCCCTTGGCTCTCTCCCATACCTTCATTGCTTTCGCACTAAAGAACAGTATATCCCGCAATAAAACAGCCCGCTAGTATGATCTATGTGAACCAAGAACTCAGTTGAAGAAGTGTCCACGTTGATGTGTCCAAGTCGGCTGCAGAGAGCAGTGAAGTCAGACGTACTACCTCTTTCTAACAAAGCAAAAAGAGAAGCGTGACCCGAGGGTGGGCAAGTTCATTAGGCCAGAACTTGATGACAGCACTCAGTCGCACTGCCTCAAGATTCGCCGTAGTATCATTCTGGGTGGTAGTTCCTTTACCCTCTCAGACGATTCTAGTACCAATTTACGGTCCTGCCGGGTGCCATCTCATAACTTTACAGGAGTCCAATCTTTTCGCCTCGTGGGAGTAGGCCAACAGCCCCCTCCCCGCCTTCTCACAGTCGAACAGACAACGGTCAGGAAACGCAGCTGCCCCTTGAGTGAAAAGGGCCATAGTGGCGTTCGTGGCAGAGAAATTGTAACCAAAATCTGGGGCGACAATAGGGATCGTATAAACACAATCCTCATTATTATCATCCGTGTTTCTAACTTGGGACTTATCCTGGCTCAGATGTCGGGAATTTTTTAGAGGCTAACTTCCGAATGCCCGCCACACTAACTAATTAATTATCTAACTATCTATCGTTGTTTAAATAAGTTGAACATTTCAGTTGAACATTTTTACAGTTTGCCAATGTTCTTTATTTGGAATCTCCGGTGGGAGTTGGATACTCGTACTCTACGGATGGTATACAACCGCAGTACTCTGATGATCTGGTAGGTCTTAGACTGTCTTAATGTGTACTTATATTTTTTCGGGTAATGAACTCTTTACTTATCATATCCCGGAATCGGAAAGGGCGTGGCTTCTTGCTTCATTTGGAGGCGGCTGAGGTTCTGGTGGAATACTGCTATTCTGAGACCATTGTAATCAGTGTCTTCCGCTCACCGCAAGAGAGAATGCAAATTCGCTTCAAACAGAGAAACTATCCCGTGCGAAAAAATTTTTAGCACTTATTCAATCTGGACTTGCTCGAGTACCCGCAGCCACAATCTCTCCCATCTCCATGATGTGGATGTAACCTCTCCTTCGAGGCCTGTATCAGCGATTTGCAACTTGGGATTCCTAGAGCGATCAAATTGCTGGTCTCACGCGCGTGCGGTCGCAAGGCGGTGGGACAAGACGAACGGAGCCAATCGTTGAAGGCTAGCCGTCTAGAACCATGGATCATAACAAACAACTTGAAACACATTCCCACGTTCTGGTCTGTATGGACCTGGGCTGTGTAATTGTGCCTTTCTCAGAGTCGTCGCTTTTCCGGTCTACCCGGTCTTTGGGAAGGGGAGGGCACAAAGGCCCCGGGTAATGCTCCACTCTCCGCTCGCCTATTCTCACAGCTCGTCGCTTCTCGCTTACCGCTAGGCCGAATGGGGAGGCACAAAGGCCCGGGTATAACCATACGACCCGCGGCCGCGGAATATTTGTTTAATTGACTGTTTGTCACGGCGAGCGCTGAGCGCCGTTGCAGATGGCGCGGGTTTGGCGCGCACCAGTGCCGTTCTCACCAATTGTGAAAGCTGCTCAGTGGCACAACTGGTGAATAAAGGCTGGCGCTGCGCCAGGGCAACCAGAAGTTCTTTTTTCTCTCTACGGGAGCAGATAAACCAACTGATGTTTCAGACAGCAGCCGAGAACTACGCGGCTCTTGTGGATTTCTTCAATCTCTATCCTGAATATCAAACTCGACCCTTCTACACACACGACTGGTGAATCGTATGCTGGTGTATATATTCCTACACTTTCAGCATTGCTCATAAAAGGAATACAGAGTGGGAGGCACTCGAATAATCAATTAATAGGTATTGAGCCCCTCGAGTAAAAAAACACCTCGAAACACTTCTGTTTCTCGTTCCACCCTGAGATGCGCCGCGCATTCGACTTTCTCAGCCACTCGCGCTGCACCATTTGCCAAGTTTTCGTCAGCTTCGAAAGCACGGTCCGCGACCAGATATCGAGGTTGAAATTATGGCGTTAGGAGGTTAGAGTGGTCTGCGACAAACAACGTTGTACCGGTTTCGCGGCAAAAATTCTAAGGGAACGGGGCGCCATACGCACAAAGACGGGTAGTGGTTCCCTCCTTTTCCAGTAACTCCGCCCCAGATCGACACCTCTCAGATGCCGGCTTTCAAGTTCAAAAAACCAGGACTGCAGGATACGAAAAACGCATGAAAATTGCTCAGTTGTACGATCGTAGAGATCTTATCGGTGAATCAGCTGTGCCTGTGAGGGCCTAATGTGGGAGATAGAGTTAACTGGGCACGTACAGACTGGGATCGTAATGGGGTTCTATCTAGGGCAGGTGGCATGTTTTTTGTACTTCTTTCTTCACTGTCGAGTTATTCCACCCCTTGTCGTCTATATTATGGAACCCCCTAATCCACTATGTGGGATGGCGAACAAGCGCGGGTTCTGCCTTTAATCACCACGTCGGCCTTAGAAGAGGGTTTTCCGAGACGCGTGGGCCGAGGAGACTAGCAACAGTTCTACCGTTACCAATTCGTCATGCGCTCCATAATACATGTCGAAAAGACAGGCGGACCAATCAGGTGCTTCCCTAACTGCCTCTATAAGATCAGCGTGGGTGCACCTAGGACCAACCACGTGTGCTTGAGGCGTTGTCCTGAGAATACGTGTAAGCGCTGGTCCGCGGAGTTTAGCCCGTTGTTGATGGCGCCAATTCCGCTCCGAACATTGCAACATGGCTTTGAAGGAATTTCCTGGCTTTTTTTTCTGGTTACAAGCAATTTTCAGATAGTAAATCTTTAGCCATCTGTGTGAACTTAGTGATGCAATTTAGGGACTCGCTGTAGGGAACGGAGTGCTGAATAAAGCGACGGATATGAATTCGTTGTTCCATTTATCCTACTATCACGGACAAATTACACACCAGTAAGTGAACTTACGCTAGTCTGTCGGGTGATTAGGAAAAGATGTACCCCCGTGACAAACGCCTTCGAATCCGCTCTCGAAGGCACATTCCACGGTGACCACGTGGGCGGAGACAGTCAACTGCTGTGCCATCATTTTGCCCTCTCTTCTGAAACAGTAAAGAGGAGGAGCATGGGGGGACTGCAAAGAGGGAGGCACAATATCTGATTGTCTCCGCCTATTTCTCTGCCTATGCGACAGCGCAGACATTTTTAGATTTCATTCTCAAACATATTCTCAATATTATGAAATATCCAAGTTTTTGATAGCCGTGATTCCTACAAACTCTAGAGCTTGCACACGGGCGTGAAGTAGAGGCTCTGCGGCCTATCCATCAAGAGTTAGCCTGAGACCACAACTACTGGAGAGAAGAGCTGCCGTAGCTGTGCTCCGATGCCACTTCACTCGCTCTACCATTTGTGATGTTCAGGACGTACCCTCTTATCTGACTAATCAGACTACTCCTTTTGACGTGATTGCTCTGATAGGTATGTTGTGGATTACTTCCGAGGCTTTTGTTGCCTTCGAGAGAGGGCAACATTCTTCAGGGCGGGCCCCGTGGAGGTAGCGATCAAACCGCGCCAAGCAATCTTCTTACTGGTTGCTCGCTTGGGGTCTGCCCCTCATTGTACGAACTCTAAATTCAGCTCTCGAACGAACCTCATTCTTTGTGGCTTCAGAGCTCCATTCCATGCTGATGGAATCTGACTGTTGCGCATTCCTCAATAGTGCGCCCCTTCTTCGAGGCTGATAAACAGTAGCATAATTCCATGAGAAAGTCATGATAGTCGCCTCCACCCAATTACACGAGCAACGTCAACTACACCTTTATATCGAGCTGCAGCGAAGAACAGCTTGGGTTCTGCTCCCCTCTTCTCTATAATACCCTGGTCTCGCAGTCAGGTCATCCAGCCTCGCTACGCTCTTGTCGTGAACTCCTGTTTCAATGGCATGACCTTTGTTTACACTTAAAAGAGTGTACAGGTCTCACCTTGCTGTGAAAACGAGTGAAATGGCCCACCTCCCCACCCCACCCAAGCCAAACAGCACCGACTCTTTATAAATAGCTTCGAACCTTTCGAGTAAGCTAATCAAACAATTTTTGGCCCAATACCATCACTTGAAATGCAAATGCTCGAAAATTCAGTCGCCGTTACAACGCTGAAGAAATAAACTAGATATTCCGCTTTTCCCACGATGCTCATCTGGTCGTTATGCACCGTGGTCGCTGTGGCCTGTCAGAGGGTGGGTTTGGCGCTGTGCCAGCCCGTTTATTACCAGCTGTTGTCGCTCGCTCGCTTCAAGATTTCATGGAGAACGAGCTATCGCCCCTCCCGCGACGCTCCCCCACGTAACTCCCCCTGGTCCTCCTTTGCCACACGCCTCAGCTTCTGCAGCAAAAAAGGACTACGCCGTACACAGTGATGTGAGCCACTCAGTCGGGAGACTTGCACGACTACTCACTTTATAGATTATAGCGACTTTTTCCTCTGCAGCCTTTTTTTTCACGTTCTTT